ACACGCACACACACGCACACACACGCACACACACGCACACACACGCACACACACACACACACACACACACACACACACACACGCACACACACGCACACACACGCACACACACACACACACACACACACACACACACACACACACACACACACGCACACACACGCACACACACGCACGCACACACACGCACACACACACACGGTGATACTTTGTAATCCCTGAGTGGCCAAAGCTCAGGATAACAGGCTTGTTAGAACAGATCTCCATTTAAAGAGATCAGCCTGGTCTTTTACACATCTCCACCATGCATTTTCCATCAAAAAGCTGCAGCTGTTCTGCTCAACTTTCAGCTGAGTTTGGGATCACTATGACACACCAACCAGCTCATTCAATGCTGCCAGGGCACGAAACATTCAGTGAGGTGCCAACTGCGGTGTTCTTCTGAGCAGATCCGTCTTCGGGACGAGTGTTTAATGATGTTATGTTCATGCAGACCTTTGATTCGCGGGTTTGAGAGCGTGAGCCAGCAGGAGTGAAGAGAGAGAGAGAGCGTTCGCATCATTACAGCAGACAAGCTCAAGCAGAGCTGTCGAAAGATGACCTGGACATCATTAAATGGCCCTCTATGAGCATTATAGACTCCAGAATTACAGACACCACGCAAGAGAATTAAGATGAAGATCATATGATGGGGAGCTGCAGAATCAAAACTATGATCCTGATTTCATCTCATGCAAGCAGCTGTGTTATTGGCACTAAATAACACCATTTACTACATAACCATTAATTACAATAACATATGACTAGTGCTGTGTGGGGTTGTAGGTATTTATGTGCGACTGTAGGTGTTTGTGTTGTGTGTTACTGTAGGTGTCTGTGCGACTGTAGGTGTCTTTGTCATGTGCAACTAAGTGTCTGTGTCATGTGTGACTGAAGGTGTCTGTGCAACTGTAGGTGTCTGTGTAGCGGTTGGTGTCTGTGTCATGTGCGACTGAAGGTGTCTATGTCGTGTGCGACTGTAGGTGTCTATGCTGTGTGCGACTGTAGGTGTCTGTGTCATGTGCGACTGTAAGTGTCTGTGTCGTGTGCGACTGTAGGTGTCTGTGTGGCTGTAGGTGTCTGTGTAGCTGTCGGTGTCTGTATCGTGTGCAACTGTAGGTGTCTGTGTAGCGGTTGGTGTCTGTGTCATGTGCGACTGTAGGTGTCTGTGTCATGTGCGACTGTAGGCGTCTGTGCTGTGTGCGACTGTAGGTGTCTGTGTCATGTGCGACTGTAAGTGTCTGTGTCGTGTGCGACTGTAGGCGTCTGTGTGGCTGTAGGTGTCTGTGCGACTGTAGGTGTCTGTGTCGTGTGCGACTGTAGGTGTCTGTGCGGCTGTAGGTGTCTGTGTCGTGTGCGGCTGTAGGTGTCTGTGTCGTGTGCGACTGTAGGTGTCTGTGCGGCTGTAGGTGGCTGTGTCGTGTGCGGCTGTAGGTGTCTGTGTCGTGTGCGGCTGTAGGTGTCTGTGTCGTGTGCGACTGTAGGTGTCTGTGCGGCTGTAGGTGGCTGTGTCGTGTGCGGCTGTAGGTGTCTGTGTCGTGTGCGACTGTAGGTGTCTGTGCGGCTGTAGGTGGCTGTGTCGTGTACGGCTGTAGGTGGCTGTGTCGTGTGCGACTGTAGGTGTCTGTGCGGCTGTAGGTGGCTGTGTCGTGTGCGACTGTAGGTGTCTGTGCGGCTGTAGGTGGCTGTGTCGTGTGCGACTGTAGGTGTCTGTGTGGCTGTAGGTGTCTGTGTCGTGTGCGACTGTAGGTGTCTGTGGGGCTGTAGGTGGCTGTGTCGTGTGCGGCTGTAGGTGTCTGTGTCATGTGTGACTGTAGGTGTCTGTGTCGTGTGCGGCTGTAGGTGTCTGTGTCGTGTGCGGCTGTAGGTGTCTGTGTCGTGTGCGACTGTAGGTGGCTGTGTCGTGTGCGGCTGTAGGTGTCTGTGCGGCTGTAGGTGGCTGTGTCGTGTGCGGCTGTAGGTGGCTGTGTCGTGTGCGACTGTAGGTGTCTGTGTCGTGTGCGACTGTAGGTGTCTGTGTCGTGTGCGGCTGTAGGTGTCTGTGTTGTGTGCGACTGTAGGTGTCTGTGCGGCTGTAGGTGGCTGTGTCGTGTGCGGCTGTAGGTGTCTGTGTCGTGTGCGACTGTAGGTGTCTGTGCGGCTGTAGGTGGCTGTGTCGTGTGCGGCTGTAGGTGGCTGTGTCGTGTGCGACTGTAGGTGTCTGTGTCGTGTGCGACTGTAGGTGTCTGTGCGGCTGTAGGTGTCTGTGTCGTGTGCGACTGTAGGTGTCTGTGCGGCTGTAGGTGTCTGTGTCGTGTGCGGCTGTAGGTGTCTGTGTCGTGTGCGACTGTAGGTGTCTGTGCGGCTGTAGGTGTCTGTGTCGTGTGCGGCTGTAGGTGTCTGTGCGGCTGTAGGTGGCTGTGTCGTGTGCGACTGTAGGTGTCTGTGCGGCTGTAGGTGGCTGTGTCGTGTGCGGCTGTAGGTGTCTGTGTCTGTGCGGCTGTAGGTGTCTGTGTCGTGTGCGACTGTAGGTGTCTGTGTCGTGTGCGGCTGTAGGTGTCTGTGCGGCTGTAGGTGTCTGTGTCGTGTGCGGCTGTAGGTGGCTGTGTCGTGTGCGACTGTAGGTGTCTGTGTCGTGTGCGACTGTAGGTGTCTGTGCGGCTGTAGGTGTCTGTGTCGTGTGCGGCTGTAGGTGGCTGTGTCGTGTGCGACTGTAGGTGTCTGTGTCGTGTGCAACTGCAGGTGTCTGCGTCATGTGTGACTGAAGGTGTCTGTGCGGCTGTAGGTGTCTGTGTCATGTGCGACTGTAGGTGTCTGTGTCGTGTGCAACTGCAGGTGTCTGCGTCATGTGTGACTGAAGGTGTCTGTGCGGCTGTAGGTGTCTGTATCGTGTGCAACTGTAGGTGTCTGTGCGGCTGTAGGTGTCTGTGTCATGTGCGACTGTAGGTGTCTGTGTCGTGTGCGACTGCAGGTGTCTGCGTCATGTGTGACTGTAGGCGTCTGTGTGGCTGTAGGTGTCTGCGTCATGTGCGACTGTAGGTGTCTGTGTCATGTGCGACTGTAGGTGTCTGTGTCATGTGCGTGTGTCATGTGCGACTGTAGGTGTCTGTGTCATGTGCGACTGTAGGTATCTGTGTCATGTGCGACTGTAGGTGTCTGTGTCATGTGCGACTGTAGGTGTCTGTGTCATGTGCGACTGTAGGTGTCTGTGACATGTGTGGCTGTAGGCGTCTGTGTCGTGTGTGACTGTAGGTGTCTGTGTCATGTGCGACTGTAGGTGTCTGTGACATGTGCGACTGTAGGTGTCTGTGTCATGTGCGACTGTAGGTGTCTGTGTCATGTGCGACTGTAGGTGTCTGTGACATGTGTGGCTGTAGGCGTCTGTGTCGTGTGTGACTGTAGGCATCTGTGTGGCTGTAGGCGTCTGCGTCATGTGCGACTGTAGGCATCTGTGTGGCTGTAGGCGTCTGTGTCGTGTGCGACTGTAGGTGTCTGTGTGGCTGTAGGCGTCTGTGTCGTGTGCGACTGTAGGTGTCTGTGCGGCTGTAGGCGTCTGTGTCGTGTGTGACTGTAGGCATCTGTGTGGCTGTAGGCGTCTGCGTCATGTGCGACTGTAGGCATCTGTGTGGCTGTAGGCGTCTGTGTCGTGTGCGACTGTAGGTGTCTGTGTGGCTGTAGGTGTCTGTGTCGTGTGCGACTGTAGGTGTCTGTGTCGTGTGCAACTGCAGGTATCTGCGTCATGTGTGACTGAAGGTGTCTGTGCGGCTGTAGGTGTCTGTATCGTGTGCAACTGTAGGTGTCTGTGCGGCTGTAGGTGTCTGTGTCATGTGCGACTGTAGGTGTCTGTGTCGTGTGCAACTGCAGGTGTCTGCGTCATGTGTGACTGAAGGTGTCTGTGCGGCTGTAGGTGTCTGTATCGTGTGCAACTGTAGGTGTCTGTGCGGCTGTAGGTGTCTGTGTCATGTGCGACTGTAGGTGTCTGTGTCGTGTGCGACTGCAGGTGTCTGCGTCATGTGTGACTGTAGGCGTCTGTGTGGCTGTAGGTGTCTGCGTCATGTGCGACGTGTCTGTGTCATGTGCGACTGTAGGTGTCTGTGTCATGTGCGACTGTAGGTGTCTGTGTCATGTGCGACTGTAGGTGTCTGTGTCATGTGCGACTGTAGGTATCTGTGTCATGTGCGACTGTAGGTATCTGTGTCATGTGCGACTGTAGGTGTCTGTGTCATGTGCGACTGTAGGTGTCTGTGTCATGTGCGACTGTAGGTGTCTGTGTCATGTGCGACTGTAGGTGTCTGTGTCATGTGCGACTGTAGGTGTCTGTGTCATGTGCGACTGTAGGTGTCTGTGACGTGTGGCTGTAGGCGTCTGTGTCGTGTGTGACTGTAGGTGTCTGTGTCATGTGCGACTGTAGGTGTCTGTGACATGTGCGACTGTAGGTGTCTGTGTCATGTGCGACTGTAGGTGTCTGTGTCATGTGCGACTGTAGGTGTCTGTGACATGTGTGGCTGTAGGCGTCTGTGTCGTGTGTGACTGTAGGTGTCTGTGTCATGTGCGACTGTAGGTGTCTGTGACATGTGCGACTGTAGGTGTCTGTGTCATGTGCGACTGTAGGTGTCTGTGACATGTGTGGCTGTAGGCGTCTGTGTCGTGTGTGACTGTAGGTGTCTGTGTCGTGTGTGACTGTAGGTGTCTGTGACATGTGTGGCTGTAGGCGTCTGTGTCGTGTGTGACTGTAGGCATCTGTGTGGCTGTAGGCGTCTGTGTCGTGTGCGACTGTAGGTGTCTGTGTGGCTGTAGGCGTCTGCGTCATGTGCGACTGTAGGCATCTGTGTGGCTGTAGGCGTCTGTGTCGTGTGCGACTGTAGATGGCTGCTGTGTGTAACTGTAGGTGTCTGTTGTGTGTGACTATAGGTGTTTGTGTTGTGTGTGTGGCTGTGGGTGTGTGTGTGTGTGTGTGTGTGTCAAGGTGTCTTTACACTCACCGTGTGCCGTCTGCTTTCCAGCTGACTTTATACCCATTCTGCTCCAGCATGCGAATGTTCTTGCGGTCCATCGATACCGGTTGAGCACCAGGAAAGCCAGATCTGACAGACAAGCAGATAAAACACCTGTGATAATGGGACACACTGCAGATGTGCTTTAGCTGATGTCCCCACATCAGTAAAGGCATTCCTGGCTGCAGGTTCATCAGGATAATAACTTCGGCACCTCTGCTTTTTGATTACTGGGATACAAAATATGTTTCCCATTACTTCAGACACCCTTAAAGGCACACACGTCATGTTCTCTGGACCGTTAAGTCAGCATGAAATGAAAATTCTTCCAGTCTATTTTCAAACTGCATGCTGCTGATTTTTGTATGAACCCTGCATTTGAATCCGAGTGTTGAACATAGTCATGAATGGATGACATTTTCACTCATTCATTTTCCTTTGGCTTAGTCCCTTATTCATCAGGGAGAATGAATCGCCAACTATTCCAGCATATGTTTTACGCAGCGGATGCCCTTCCAGCTGCAACCCAGTACTGGGAATCACCCATACACACTCATACTCATACACTACGGCCAATTTAGTTGATCAGTTCCCCTATAGCACATGTGTTTGGACTGTGGGGGAAACCGGAGCACCCGGAGGAAACCCACGCCAACAAGGGGAGAACATGCAAACTCCACACAGAAACACCAACTGACCCAGCCAGGACTCCTTCTTGCTGTGAGGCCGCAGTGCTAACCATATTTAGACACACACTCACTAACACAGACTAACACATATCTTTATACACACACACACACACACACACACACACACAGTCATTTACTAACGCAGAAACACTTTTACATGGACACACGTCTGTACACACACTCACCTGTCCCACTCTGAGAACTGCTGGCACTTCCTCTGGATTTCTCCGAGTTTGGGCTGTGTTGTGACTTGAGAGACTCCTTTGACAGAGACGCCTTCCAGAAACACAGCGCCCTGAAACACACACACACACACCTCAAACCATCACTCCAGCTCACAAGACAGCTGATACACTCCCAGTCATGAGCCTTATCCTTATCTGTGAAGTTGGGAGATTTTGTTTTTCTGAGATATAAACAGTTGAAGTCAGAATTATTCGCCCCCCTGTTTATTTTCCCCTAATTTCTGTTTAACAGAGAGCAGATTATTTCAACACATGTCTAATCATGATAGTGTTAATAACTCATCTCTAATAACTGATTTATTTTCTCTTTGTCATGATGACAGTCAATAATATTAGACTAGATATTCTTCAAGACACTAGTATTCAGCTTAAAGTCACATTTAAAGGCTTCACTAGGGTAATTAGGGTAAAGTTAGGGTAATTAGGCAAGTCATTGTATAAATAAATAACAATGCCAGTGACTCGTGACCCCCAATATCCTCTGAGATGGTTATAAATATATAAACCTTACACACAGGCGCACACATACCAATAGGGCCAGGTCTATTCATTGTTTAAACGCCACTCTGAGACCATCCTTCATGCTCAGTTGTGGCCTGTATTGAATATTGATGTACACGAGTGCCGTAAAGGTATCAGAAAGTTTAACCTGCTGCCATAATATCAATGTGCTGTCTCAATGTATTTTAATTCATTTAAAATTTAGTGTCCCGCTATAAGTATTTAGGCTTTCTACTCGATCAGGAGCTTTCTTTCAAAGAACACACAGCAAATTTGGTTAGGAAATTGAGAGTTAAGCTCGGATTTTACTATCGAAATGCATCCTGCTTTTCTCTTAAAGCTCGCAAACATTTGGTGTCTGCAACATTTTTACCCTTGATTGACTATGGTGATGTTTTTTATATGCATGCTTCAAACAAATGTCTTCAGCCTTTACTCTATCTATCACAGTGCTCTAAGGATTGTTACAGGCTTGGCATTGTGAATTGTATGCCAAAGCTGAGTGGCCTTCTCTGTATGTAAGAAGGTACACCCATTGGATGACTCTGGTCTACAAGGCTCTTCTGGGACTGGTGCCTTCATACCTATGTTCCCTTCTCCATAAGTCTAAAAGCCAGTATGCCCTACGCTCAAGTGAAGCTTATCATTTGACTGTTCCCCGGGTTGGAACTGAAATCGGGAAGCGAGCCTTTAGTCATGCCGCCCGCTCATCCTGGAATACTCTTCAGTCTGAACTAAAGATATCTGAGCTCATCCCAATGACATCGTTTCGCTCTATCCTTTTTAACAAGCAACAACAGTCCATTTCTCAATGTATGTGTTTTTAATATATTGCAATGTGGTAAAGCGGGAAAACTGAACTGTATTTTTATATTATATTAATTTTATATTTATTACTAATATTATTAAATTTTTATTTTTATTTTTTTTATATAAATCGTGTGTTGCAGACCTCTTGGCCAGGTCACCCTTGTAAATGAGATCTTGATCTCAATGGGTTTTTATCTGGTTAAATAAAGAAACATATAATGTGCACACCCCAGAGGTCGCAAAAAAATGTACACTGTTTTGCTTCTGTAGGTTATGGATAAAATATGGTAAGAGCAAAAGTTTCATAAAATGAATGAATGAATTTATTAAAATGTCCCACGACCCCCCCGGGGGGGTCCCGAGCCCTACTTTGGGAACCCCTGCTGTAGACAATCCAAAACTAATATTGCTTAAGGGGGCTAATAACATTGACCTTAAAATGGTTTAAAACAATAAAAACTGCTTTTATTCTAGCCGGAAAAAAAACCAATAAGACTTTCTCCAGAAGAACAAATATTAGAGGAAATACTGTGAAAATTTCCTTGTAACGCTTCTTTTTCAAACGCATCTCACCAGTTTGAGTCTCTCCTTCTTCTTCTTGCTCTGCCCGGTGTGAGATGAGCTGGGCTCGGAGGCCGGAGCGCTGGCACTGCCGTCTTCCTCCCCATCCTCCTCCTCGTCTTCATCGAAGCACCACTCGGGCAGTGGCGGGGCGGCGGGAGCGTCCTCCACATCCCCGTACCGCCGGAAGAGCTCCTTCAGGTAGTCTCCTTTATAGATGCCTGGCGGACGAGCCTGAGCGAACGCTGCCACAGCCGCCTCGATGCTGAAAATCACAACACACAGCACTCTTAACAGTTAACAGAGAAATGCAGATTTTAGATGCTAATGGTCTAATCTGAATCAATGACTTATGCTAAGCTAAGCTAAAAATGCTTCCGTCGGACCCACAGATCAGTTGAATGGACTCAAAAATCATGGAATGGATTTCTAGAGTGTCAGAATCAGCAAACTTATCTGATGATGGTCAAATGATGTAATTTCAGGAGTAAAGATGAAAATTCAGTTAATAAAGAAGGAAAATACAGTTAATAAAAGGTAATAAACAATGATAGAGGTGTGAACCTATACTGGTCTAACGGTTCGGTTACGATTATCATGCCATCAATTCGGTTCAATTCGATATTGTAATGAGGTTCACGGCCCATTGGCCGCCGGGAAGAAGGAGGCGGAGAACCGACGCAGTTTTAAAATGATTTATTAATAACAGTGACGGCAGCTCCTCACGGAGGCTGCCGTCTAAACCAAAACAAACTGAAAGTAAAAGTAAAATATGTCCGGGCCCGGTCCTCTCTCTGCCTCCTCTACCATCGTTCCTCCTTTTATTGTCCAGAGCTCCTTCCGTGGGATCCGAGGCAGGTGCGCACCGCAGGTGTATCCACTCACGCGGTGGCCTCACTCCGTTCCCACGGCTCTCGGCCACGCCCCCTCGCCACAGATATCTCGGTGCATCATGATGCATTGACGATGCTTTCCATACACAGTGTTATATTTTGGGGGGAGGCTATAACAAGCTGTCTGTATAAACACCGACACACAGCACCACACTGTCTCTCATCCACACACATACACAAACATAGACAGCAACAAACAAACACACATGCGCACACACTTAAGCCCTCGCAATGTGCGTTTAGCCGGGACAGTTTGCACTGAGTGTAGCAAAAAACGAAAAAATTAAATAAAATAAAAAAAAGAAAAAAAAAAAAAAGCTTTAACTTTAGCAACGGTCCCTTACTGAGAGCTCCCCTCAGCCCATATTGCGAGGGCTCAAACGGAGCAGTGCTCGTAATGTCGAGCGAAAAAAAAAGAAAAAGACAGCTGTGAAACATAACCAGCTTTGTCTTTTTGTAGGAAACACACTTTAGATCTTTTTAAGGTAAGAGGTTTATGAGTTATTGCCGTCTATAACTGAATGTATGTCAGGAATACCGAAAAACAAAACCAACATAACCGCGCTCATTTCTAGCGCCCCCTGGATGTACAGCGCCCTTAGCATTTGCCTATACTGCCTACAGCCACAGGTTGGCCCTGAGTTGGCTCCTGACTGTTGTAAATACCCGCGCTCACCTCCCTCACGACAGAGCGCATAGGAGATAAATGAAGTCAGTACATAATAACCGGTTATGATTATTACTGAACCAATACCAAATTGTCCGCATTTGCATTGCGGTGCACTGAAGAAACTATTAATTTTGACACCCCTAAACAATGATTTTACTTAAATAGAAAAAACTTTTTTTTTTTTCTTCCTTTAGTCTTAAAAGAAAGTTTTGAGCGAGATGCTAATGGTCTAATCTGATTCAATGATCTATGCTAAGCTAAGCTAAAAGTGCTCCCGTCAGACCCTGAGATCGGCTGTATGGATTAAAAAACTCTTCACTCTAGGAGAGCTGTAAAATGAGCGTAATTCCAAAAACAGTGAAGTGTTGTTTTTAAACTTGAGAAAATCAAACACAGCGTAACACCAAGAACAGCACAAGATCTACAAGAAAATTACAACAATTAACACCTCTCCTCCTCGATACAACCAATCTTTTCAACTATTAGCATGCTTGAGTGAACGTAATGAAGTATTGATTGGGTTTATAAACTCTGCAGAAGAGTTCTCGTACTGTTGCACATCCACTGCTGTTGCTTCAGGGCCCAAGATATGGATCCAAGTGGTGACCTGAAACTATATCAAAACTGATTATTAAGCCCCAGTTCACCTTCATAGTATATTTCTCGGCTGTTTTTAGCTGTGTTTTAAGTGTGGGGTTGATATCAACTCAGTGATGAATGTATTTTGGGACTTTGACAGAGTCAAAATGTACTGGAAAGAGATTCTAACAATTATTGAGAGAATAATTGGAAAGATATTCATAATGTCCCTCATGATTTCCTCCTGAATTGCACTGTGGAACTTTGTCTTGATTGGTATAAAGAATGTGTACTGCACGGATGTTTTGTATTACTTTTGTTTTACCAAAATATGTGTCGTATTATTATGATCAACTGCTTAGGAACCTTGTACTTGAGCCAGACGACACTTTTAGCAGTGGAATGTTTGACTTCTGTTTTACACCAAAGCTCTGAGGCGTTTTGGTGGATCTGAGCCTTGGTGTAAGGAACACCACATAATCAAGGGAAGAAATGAAATTACGCAGCACCTGAAAATAGTACTAAATAAAAATAAAAATAAATAAAAGAATTGCACTCTGTAATATCATTTGAAGCACTTGAGGGAGAGTAAACATCTTTTCATCTTTGGGTGAAAAACGCCTAAAGTATCAGTGTCGATGAATTACAAAGACATTTAATACACATTTTAACATACATTTGGCTCAGAAAGCATTTTGAAAGACACACTGAATTTTGCCACAAATATTACACACTATTATTATTATTATTATTTTAACCTTACTGACCCCACACTATTAAATGGTACTGCGTGTATATAAAGTTCTGTCTAACTCATGTACGTTTTCCTTTGAGAGTTTGAAGTGTGTATGGGAAAAAGATTTAGGTCACAAAATTGAAGATACAGATTGGTCTGAGATATGTAACAACTTGTATTCTTAATGTACCTCATTGGGCGTTCATGAGCTCAATTATAAATTCATTAACAGAGTTTATCTTACACCTTTGCTTCTGATTTATAGAAACTCCTCTGATCTTTGTTTTAACTGCAAAAAAAGTCAAAGGAACATTTCTTCACTGTTTCTGTGACAAAATCATCTCTTTTTGGAAGAAGATGCATCATTTTCTACAAGGACTCTTTCAGATAAAATTCAGTTTTTCTCTAGAATTGTATTTGTTGTATGATGGAGTAGAGAGCGTGTTGGACCCCCACACCAAACACCTGTCCTAATTTTGGTCTATCTGGCAAAGAAATGTATACTTTATTGTGGTGATCCCCTCAGGTGCCTTCCTTTAAAATGTAGTTGTCTCAAGTATGTGCGTTATTTCCACTTGAGAAACTAACTTATGATATAAATCAAAAGTCAGATGATTTCTGGCAGCTATGAACACCTTTTTGGCATTACATCAATAATCTCTCCTGATTTCTACTCTATGGTGTGTGTGTGTGTGTGTGTGTGTGTGTGTGTGTGTGTGTGTGTGTGTGTGTGTGTGTGTGTGTGTGTGTGTGTGTGTGTATATATATATATATATATATATATATATATATATATATATATATATATATATATATATATATATATATATTTATTTATTTATTTATTTTATTTTATTTATTTTTTTGCTCCTAGCCTGACTGTATTACCATGTTTACTTGTTTTTATATCTCCCTTTTATTATTTTTTACTTCCCCACTTTATGACTGAGACTGTATTTGTATGTGTTGATGTATCAAAATAACCCGACGACAAAAAAATAAAAAAAATAATAAAAAAAAGGCACTACATTTGAAACTAAAAAAAGGGGCAAACTGAACCTTTGCATTAATTTTCACAGTATTTCCTATATTTGTGTCTTAATATTTCGGTTAGTTTGGCGGGAATAAAAATGTTTTTGAAAAGTTTAGATGCATTATTCTAGCCAAAGTAAAATAAATATTAAGAGCAATATTATTAATCCTTTTAAGAAATATTGTTTTTCGATTGTTGCCTAATGGCATGCCTCATTCATTTTCTTGTCGGCTTAGTCCCTTTATTAATCCGGGGTTGCCACAGCAGAATGAACCGCCAACTTATCCAGCAAGTTTTACGCAGCGGATGCCCTTCCAGCCACAACCCAGCTCTGGGAAACATCCACACACACATTCACACACACACTCATACACTACAGACAATTTAGCCTACCCAATTCACCTGTACCACATGTGTTTGGACTGTGGGGGAAACCGGAGCACCCGGAGGAAACCCACGCGAAGGCAGGGAGAACATGCAAACTCCACACAGAAACGCCAACTGAGCCCAGGCTCGAACCAGCGACCTTCTTGCTGTCAGGTGACAGCACTACCTACTGCGCCACTGCCTCGCCCTAATGGCATGCCGAATGATCCTAACTTTACCAATTACCCTAGTGAAGCCTTTAAATGTCACTTTAAGCTAAACACTAGTATCTTGAAGAACATCTAGTCTAATATTGTGTGCTGTCATTATGACAAAGAGAAAATAAATCCGTTATTAGAGATGAGTTATTGAAGTTGTTGAGTTTAAAAATAATGCAGAGCTTCAGTGTAGATGTTCATTTTTTCATGTATTTCTTACCAACCTGCAAGCGGAGGCAATTTGTCAAACGTGACATTATTTACACACCGCTGAGCGACCTACTTGCTTCATATCTTCTGCATTTCATCATGTTACAAGCGTGCAATCACTGCACTGAATGTTCAGAAATAACTTCTGCACAGCATAGACAGTATATTGCGCTTATATACAGACTGACCTCATTTTCATGTTTTGAGAAATATGAACCATATTTTTTTATACTTTTGACAATATTTGTAAGGTAAACAACAAATTTAAAAGTAGTACGGTCAATTTGGTGGTTTTTGCCTCTAAAAAACATCTAAAAACACTTTTAATTGTGGATTGCTGTAGCAAAGTAATGCTTTACAACTCCGATGAGTATCCTTGTTGCAAATAAATAAATTACTGTTGCTCAATAATATCTATCAAAAAACATTTGTGCTGTCAAATGATATAAAGTTTGTCATGATTGCTTCATGATTACACTGTAATGTAATGGTTTAAAAATGTAACCGTAAATGATCCCACAGGCTGCAGGGTGACAGTAAACGTGTTTTAATCTATTACT